GTGAGTGGCACACATGGTCCCGAGAGAAAAACATGAGGCACGGGTTGGAGGCGCTGGGAGCACTATGGGAAAGGCACTTTGTATTATATGTGTCCCACTTGGGACTTGTGGTCTGCATGAATGGGGAATCGAGCGTCCTGCCATTTCGGAAGGAAAGGGTGGGTCTGCACCGGCTGGTGCGGGTTGCGAAACGTCGTTTTCTTCGGGTAGGCCGCCGGGCTTTCATGTGCAAGGTCATGCCACCGGACTGTCAGGCAGGAGTTGGTCCGTCGGGTGATTAGTAGCATTCCCTCCTGGGCGGGCCGAGCATCGCTCGTGACCTTACCCGGGCGGGGTGCGAAACGTCTCCTCAGGCGGGGCAGCTGCTTGTCGGCAGACGGCAGGAAGACCACTGCATGTGGGGCCCGGAGGGAGCTCCGGAGGCGATTAATAGCCTCTCGTGATACGGCATGGTAAACGCTGACTCTTATTGGACCGATGGATGTGAATGCCCGGACGACTGATTTATGTCCCCACCGAGCACGCGGGGTAATTCCCGGTGCCAACGGGGGTGTTCAAGAGCGGCAAGACGGGATGGGGTATTCTGGGCAAGAAGGTGAGGGTGTCCCCCCACTGGAGTCTGGATACCTCGCTCGCGACGGTTGAGCTGTGCTTGAGGTACGGGATAAAACTATGCCGATAGTAACAGTGGAGAGACCACTTTTGGGAAAAAGGTCGGTGAGGAGATGACCGGCCTGTGTGCGAGGATTGCTTGATTTTTTTTTCTTTTTTTTCTTCTTTCGTGCCTCCCTCTGTAAAGTTGCTTGGGATTGTTGGGAAGGAATCGAGCCTTCGAAGTCTATTCTCGCCCCCTATCTAAGTCCGCACAAGTGAGAGAAGATGGAAAAGAGCAAGGACAGGAGTCGGAAGGAAAGGAACCAAGAGAAGGAATGTCAGCGGATGGTGACCAACTTTGGGTGCGACAGGGCGACGGTACTTGGGAAAGGGGCAAAGGGAAAATTTAGGAAGACCTTGATGAGGGGTCTAAAACAATTCTCATCTAGGACTGCGGCTGACCTAACCGAGGGCCGATTGGTGCTCTCTTTGAAAAAGCAGGACTTGGCAACTAGGGAGGGACGAGATGGCACGGTGGTTGTCCTCGCCCACCTACTCCGGCGGACCAGAAATGCCGGTGGACGTAAGGGGTGGGGTGTCGGTCGTGATGCCGGAAGAAGGGACTTGGACGGACCTGGAGCCGGTATACCAAACCGTGATGCTGGTTGAAAGTAATGCCTTCCTATGGATCGAAACAATGTGGACAAAGGTTAGTTTGACAAGGTTAGCACCAAGCCTGCTGGACTTAGAGTTTCGGGGGACCGTGGAGGCCCGAGGATAGGTCTACTTGTCTAAGGAAAAGGAAAACGCCATGATAATAGAGCTTGTCTTAGGATTACTCCCGTACAAGTTGTTCAAGGAGGCTGAGCGGGAAGTGGTGTGGGCCGCGTGCCAGCGGGTGGAAATGGTGACGGAGGCGATTGATGTACGGGTGAAACTTGGGGATAGAGGGAATGTACGAAAGCCATTTAGGACCTTGAGGTGTATCATGTCGCCCTTCATGGTGGACGCCGTCTTCGGAACCCAGAGCAGGCTGGTGCGGATATGCAGATCCATGGCAAGCCTGGGGTTGTACCGAGGGGTCCGACAGGACTTCTTTCGTCTGTCTGTCGAGAAGGGGCCATTCGAAGGGAATTGGGCGAAGGAACTAACCATGATGCTAAACCATCTTAGTACGGACGACCTGTTCATCTCGAGCAACGTGCATTGGAGGATAGTGTATAGGAATGTCGCGATAGGGGAGACGGTTCTGGAAGGGGTACATGACTTGTGGTATGAGGAGGACGAAGACGACTCGGATGAGGAAAAGGGGGTAGAGATTGAGGATTGGGATTTCTAAAAGAGAGGGCTCGGGGCTGTATGGCATGGGTGGATTGGGGTTGTGCAGGGGATCAAGGATGGCAAGGGGACTACAGCTACGAGACTGCACGTTTAAAGGATGGGAGCCGAGACGAGTCGAAGGGGGGGAGAGATGTCCATACCAGCGGATAATGAGTGGAGAGGGACCACGTGTGACTGGGCTGGATTTGAGATTGCCGGAATCGTCGTACCTATGGGTAGAACGGGTCTGGAATCCGCTAAGAGAAGAGGAAGGATGGGAGGAGATTGCGGACGGAAAGGTGGAATCAGTCGGGGCAGTCATCCTCTCGGAGCAGGGGTGGCATTTGTTCTGCACAACGCTCGCAGTAGGGCAGAGTCCGATGTGGCTTCTGGGGGATGTGGAGGCAAAGACTCGAAAGGCAGGCGAGAGGTTTGCCAACAAAGGATGGGATGTGGTTTGCAGTAGGGTCGTGATGGGGGGGATGGAAGGAGTTTAGACCTCCTTGTCTACGAACTAAGACTTGGGTACCCGAGTTCGTGGCAGGCTGGTTTGGGGGTTTTGATCACCTCGCAGAGGTGGCCAGCACTATGCGGCGGGTACACGTGAATTGCGCATGGTTGACGGAAGAATTTTATAAAACATCGTTAAAATTTCACGGCGACAGAGTCTGGGAGGTCCTCATAATTTTGGACATATACAGGAACGATCGGTTGGAAGTGGCCCCAGAGATCAGGGACGCCATAATCCGTCGAGAGGTAGCAGCGACACCTTGCTATGTCGATGATGTGTTTAAATTATTCGAAGCACTGTGGTTCGACTAGGGGCGGGAAAAACCCGAGCTAGCAGGGTAAGACAAGGGGTAAAGGGAGAAAAGAAGAAGGAAGGGGAAAAATTAGGGGGTGACATAGACAGGGGAACATGTATTTTATGCAAACCAACCAGGGATAGAAGTACTAAGGCAGTGATTGGGGTGTCCGGGTATTGTAGGGATCGCTATGGCACCGTGGGATAAAGATCGAAGGCGGGTAGCGTGCAGAAATCAGCCTACCTACCGCAAATGAGGTCCGACAGCCAGTGGTGGATTGGGTCGGGGTCGAGCTTATGGAAAATACGGTTTACCTATTGACCAAGGTTGAGTGGCGGGCGGATGAGAATGGCGAATGGAATCCGAACCCACGGGGACATGTGCGCGCAGAGGGGTGGTTGTATGTGTAGGAGGATGGATGGCGCGATTCAAAGTCCTACTAGCATCAGGGGAAGATCCGGTAAGCATGTTCGAGGGAGCATGGCAGCTAGTGTGGCAGGCAGGAGTCGAGTTCGCTGACCCGGAGTCCGATGATGTAACAACAAACGTTAGGGTGACTATAGCCGGGAGTTTTAATCTGCCTAGTGAAAATGTCTGAATGAGGTTGCCGCCCTTCTTACTAGAAAGGCTGGGCGGGCTGGAGCTTGTCAAGCGAGCAATGGCCGACCTCGCCAACCTGACGTTTGAGGAAGCAATGGTCCACCAGGAATATTACCGGGGCTTCCTAGAAATGGGACCATTCAGAGGTATGAGGTACTGCGAATCTTGCGCGCCGTATTTACCACCAGGCCTAAAGTTCCGGATGTTCGCGATGAAGTCCTATGGGGCGTCGTCCGAAGGGAAATAAACCAGGGGTTGAGTTACGTAGACAATTTGTACCGCTTGTACGAGCTGTCAGAAGTGGAGGCGGGTCAATAAAAGGAGGAAGGAAATAAAACAGGAATAAGGAAGAAAAGGAAGGTGAGTTAAGGGTCAGGGAATCACCCAGGTGGTGATCGAAGGAATGTATGAGAATAAGCAAAGCTCACTTGCTGTTTAAACTGTGCAGGGAACCGTTAACCAGCAATGGCAATGAGGTGCGCCCGGATGTCGCGACGACCCACGCACCCTCGACCGCCCGCGGAAAGCAGGGATGGATGGGAAGTGTTACTTCCAGCAACCTACTTGGTTCGAGGGGTTGACACGGAATGGAGAGTTGTGACCTTGGGAAGGGACCAGGCCTTCATGATGGTAGAATGTTTATGGAGAGGTATGAGGTTCGACAGGGGGCCAGGGGACAATCTATATGCTGAATTGAGGGTGACAGGGACCGTATACCTACCGGAGATTGCGTGGCACATGCTAGGAACTGAGATGGCACTAGGACATGGGTTGCTGCCAATATTCCGAAGGGCTGCCAGGATAGTGAAATGGATAGGCCAGGAGATTCGGGGGAGAAGGAACGTAGGACTGAGAACTCGGGTGGAGGTAGGAGGATGGCGAGAGTTTAGGGCCCCGATGACAGGATTGCGGTGCCGAGTACCCCGTTTTATGGTGGATCTAGTATTCCGCAGCCTCTCGAGGGCAAGAGACTTGGTGGACTCGACCTTAGTTTGGATCCACCACTTCCAGCCACTTCTCGAGTTAGGCACGGGCCGTTTTGGGGAAATCAGGCCCGTGAACTACTTGAACTCATCGAAATCCTGATATTCGGGTTACCACGCCTGGCAATTGAGGAGTATGAGCCAATAATTATCAGAGAGATAGAAATGGGAAAAAACTACCTTGTGGGGGTGGCTAACCTGTTCGAAGAGCCTGACGAAAAGGACAGGCATGAGGGACCGGCATGAGAAAGTACCGGGAAAAGGCAGCGAAAGTAAAAGCTGGAAATTAAAACGAGGGATTAACCATCTAACGGAAGGTAGTGGTCGGAGTCCTATTCTACCTGAGAACACGGCAGGAAGGGACCGGGAAGGCCACCACCGCTAGGGATGCTGAGGGTATCCAGGAGTCGGGAAGGCGAAAAGAGCCATCTTCGAGTAGAGAGTCGCCAACTCGGGATACCGCCTTAAAAACCGAGGCACGACAGTGATAAAACGCCGAACCCCGGCAGCGAGCCTTCCGGCAGAGGAGAGGAAAGTTGTGCACTGTTGAATAAGAAAACGGCAGATAAGCCGTCACGGTTGATATGAGACGGGAAAATATGGAAACAGCAAAGATAAGGACCTTAGGACCAGGGAACTAGGGAAGTTGTGAACGACCGGCCGTTTCGTAAAAATTTTTTTCCATGTGCACGGTTAGGAAAAGATGGCGTCGGAAGAAGAGGCTGGGACCTGCGGAGCAAGGGGAGTCAGGGTACAGAGAGGGGCGTGGAACGGAATGAAGGGTCAATAAGGGACCGAGAATCAACAAATCCGGAGGGGACCAAGGAAGACGGGAAGGATCTCTCAATGGGGGAAAGTTCGGGAAAGGCCGGGGGAAGTAAACGAGGATCTCAGGAGAATAAGGAAGGAAGGGACAAGGAAAGGTCAAGTCCGCGAAACTCAGATGGGATCATAGTCAAGAAAGCGAATGTCTCGGATGCCCGACGTAAGCTTGCAAAAATAGAAAAGCGAATCGCAGAGTATAAGGCGAGACTTATTGAAGAGATGATGGCTGGGAACGAGAAGGACCTTCCGGGAGAGGAGCTACGAGAGGAGCGCAGGACTAGCCAGGGCGAAATCAGGCACGGAGGGAATGATAGTAGCCATAGGGGGACGCCTAGCAAGAAAGGGGAGGAAAAGGGGGACTCCCCGGCTGTAGAAGCAGAAAAAGCTACAAACCCACCTGCCATAGACAGTGGTGGTAGCCGCTTGCCTGTCGCGCCAAAAATAATGAAGGGGTGCGACGGACTTTGGGATCTCAGGGAAAGGGTACTAGGATGGTTTGATCCGGAGGGAACAACACCAACCGGAGAAAAGCGGAAGGATAGCAAGGAAGGAGAAGGGACTAGTATGGCTGGCGAAACAGGTAGTTCCGAGGGCGGCCTCAAGAAAATAGTATCCACCCTCACCCGGGCGTTGAACAAAAATCAGGGCTACCTCGCAGATGCCAAGAAGAAGCTCACCTTTGATGGGGCGAACATCACCGACTTCCTGATAGACTACGAGAACCTAGCAGCCTTGTTGAAATGGAGCGAGGAAGAAAAGATGGACCACTTAGGGCAACATGTGTCACTAAGCTTAGGAAGAGACATTATGGCTATTGTCGCCGCCAGTGGATCTTGGAAAGAGACCCGAAATGAGATAATGAGGAAGTATCTAAAGCCGGAGAAAATGGCAATGGAAACCGAATTGGCAGTCGTGCAGAGGAAGAACTTCGCGACTTACAACGACTTCCTGAGAGCGTTTACCCTAGTAGCGTTACGAATTCCCGGGGTAACGGACCCGATCATGAGTAAGTATTTCCTTAGACAATTTTCCGAGTTCGACAAGGATAAGATTTTGTCGGCCTATCAACAGACCACCAAGTTTGAGTACACGAGGAATGTAGACTTCAGTACGGTAACAGACCTCGCGGAGAAGACGGTGGTAACCGAGACGTTAGCCTTGCTTAAGGAGGGTGAGGTCATAGACTTGACCGGAAATACGGGAGACAAGGTGAAGAAGGGAATAGAAAGTCTGCACGAACGGATGCACGGAGTCGATAATAAGTTAGAAAGAGTGGAGAATGCACTATTGGTAATGCAGGCGCAAGTTTTCCGCCCCGCCCTCCCGCCCCAAGAGGCCGTAGTTCCGGCAGCAGTAGCCAACTCAGGATACGGTAGGAAAGATCCGGCCAATGAGCAGTGCCGATATTGCATGATGATCGGTCACTTTGTGCGGACCTGCCCAAGACTCAACCACGATATTAGGCGACAGAGATGCAGCAGGTCCCTTAAAGGCGAAATTTTCGGACCCCAAGGGGAGCGAATAAACTGGAATTCGCCAGGTGGGTTGCGGCGTGCCGTCATTATCCTGAATAACCTGGATATAGCCGCCGTAGAAGCCGAGTCAGTAGCCGACATTATTTGGGATCAGCCGCGGGGGCGCGGACCACAAGTCAATTTCATCCTAGAGAGTAATGGACAGGATAGGGTGAACATCACCACCCGGCGGGCAGGGCCGGAAAAAAAACTTATTCGAGATATGGTAATGGAGGAGGTTGCGGGAACCATCCCAAATCAAGGCGAGTCCGAGACCGGGGAGCCGGAGAAAGTCTACGGGAAAACCAGGGAGGAAGAGCCCATAGACAAAGCCACGACGGCAAAGAAAAAGTTCAAGTACCAAATCCCGATCTTGACCATGCCAGAAATCGACGACACCCTGAGCAAATTGCTAGGTACCATGGTATCTGTATCCTTTCAGACCATGCCGCAAGCAAGCCCGAGATTGCTTAAAGGACTCAGGCAATTGCTAACGCCCCGACACGTAAAGGTAGAAGAGGCTCCGGAACCACAGAAACAGGAAACAGAGGAGGCAGAGGCACCACAAGGGGTCGCCAACCTCCAGAGGATCCCGCGAGATCTGGAAGACCTGGAAAAGGCCTTTGCGGACATCCGCTTAAGCCTACCTGACTGAGAGGGCGCGAGGTCATGAGGGCACCTCCCGAAACGAAGCTCGGCTTCCATGCACGCTCGAAGTTCCAAACCTGTTGCAACTTATTACGACTATCAAGTACCACAAAGTAGGAGTGGACCCGGCAACACTTGCAAAATTCGAGGATGAGGTCCGAAAGGGCTACTGTCTGAACGGGAAGATAGTCAGTATTCAACCTCGTGTCACGGAAGTAGCAAGGCTGATTCCGACCGTTCATTTTTCAGAAGAACGATCCTAGAAGGAAGTGTTCGAAAGTACAAGCCAGTAGGAAAGAAAGCCAAGCCGGTCTCAATCCTAGTGGAGACATCAAGGGAGGAGGCCATGGAGAAAGAGGAAGAAATCTTGCGGGTAGTAAGGGAGAGACGAGCGGCGGAAGGGCATCGGATACCCAATGAGGTAGCAGACACCATGAAAATAGGGATAGATGGGTTCCTAACGGTGAAAGAAACCCAGCTAATAAGGAAAACGTGCCAGGAGTTTCACTTAGCATTTGCGTTCAATGACCATCAGAAAGGTCGATTGGATGCAAAGTTAATTTCCCCCGTTAGGATCCACACAGTGGAACATGAGTGCTGGAATGACAAAGGGCCTGCCTTCGAGTTCGAAATAGCAGCAGAGGTCACGAAACTGCTCAGAGCCAAGATAGATTCGTTCGTGGCCGAACCTACCGCATCCCCCTACGCGAACAAGTGGTTTGTCTTTCCGAAGCCCAACAAGGCGCTCAGATGGATCCAAGACTTGCAGAAGCTGAATGCGGTAACAATCCGGAACGCGGGATCGCTTCCACAGACCGATCTGTTGGCAGAATCTCACGCTGCCCGGAGCATCTACTCCTTGATAGATTTGTACTCAGTTATGTCCAACTGCCGCTCGATGCCAGGGATAGACCATACACCGCCATGCACACCCCTGTAGGACAGCTGCAGATGCAAGTGACCCCTATGGGTTTTACAAACGTTGTGGCAGAAACACAGAGGAGGATGCTTGCGGTAGCTGGGGACATGTTCTGGAAAAATGCGAGCCATATGTAGACGATAGTCCCATAAAAGGCGCGCAGAACAAAGACGAGACGGAGGTCCAGTCGGGGGTTCGGAAGTTCGGCTGGGATCACCTACAGGATATCAAGGACCTACTCCAGCGGTTCCTGGTATATAACATCACCGTGAGCGGACCAAAGAGCATCCTGGCGGTCCCAGAAGTGATCATACTGGGGTTTCGTTGTGGGGCCTATGGGAGGAAGTCGGACCCGACAAAGACGGATAAGATCTCTCAATGGCCCACACCCTTGCGCACCACAACGGAAGTACGAGCCTTCCTAGGGGTGGTTGGATTCTGGAGGATCTTTATCAAAGGCTTTGCCAAAATAGCCGAGCCCATCCGTGCGATGATTAGGGATGGGGGGACTATGGAATGGACCGAGGACAGGGAAGCAGCGGTTCAGACCCTCAGAGACATATTGTCCTCCGATCAAGTCACCTTGGCAGCGCCCTGCTTCAACGACGAGGTGGGACGGCCCTTTATTATGGAAACAGATGGAGGACCATTGGCGGTAGGAGGAGTCCTGATACAAAGGAGCGAGGAGGGCAGAGAAAGGCCTATCAGATTCGAGAGTAGGACCCTGAATTCTGCAGAACGGCGATACTCCTTGTTCAAGAAAGAAGTCTTAGCCATTCTACATTGCCTTAAGACCTTTCAGACATACCTATTCGGAAGGCGGTTTATCCTGAGAATCGATCCGACCAATGTCGTCGGGGCATTAAAGAACTATAAGCCTATAGACCCGATCGTTGGGAGATGGATAGGCTTTATCTGGCAGTTCGACTACAAGGTCGAGCGAATTGCGAGGCTCCAGAACAGAACAGACGGGCTAAGTCAGGTCTGCATCACGCCGGAAGGAACAAAGGACGCGGAACCAATCGACGCCTTCCTGAAATACGAAGGAGGAACCCTCGTCACAGATAATGAGATGATGAACCTCGCGTGTACACCAGGACAGTTGTTGATTCAGACCCTGGAAAAAGGGGCGCCTGCCATAGTTGCGGAACTTAGGGAAGGGTCAGTCACTACGATTAGACGAAAAGACGAGAAGGATTCGTGGGGGGCAACAGTGGGACCAAAAGAGGAGCTGATGATGATGGTCGTTGAAGGAGGTCGGGACGCCGTGATGTGCTTAGTGGAGTCCTGGACACAAAAGGAACGACAGTATTTAGTAAGTCATGCTCAGGAAAAGCGAGATACGGACCAGGATGGACAAAATTTTTTCCTCATACAAATGTATGACGGCATCTTTCGAGAAATCGGCCTGTTACTTATAGGGAACAAGCAGCCTATGGAAGTCAGCCCCAAGGCAAGGGAGGAAGCCGAAAAGTATATCCTGAGGAACGACCACCTGTTCAATAAGGAAGAAGGAATGACACCTAGGCGAGTTGTGTGCGGAAGGTCTAGGCAGTTGGACATAATACAAGCAATGCATGATGGATTAGCCGGAGGGCACCGGTCATCAAAAGAGACCCTTGCAAAAATCGCGCCGCTTTAGTTCTGGCCAGGCATGGCATGTATGGTGGCCACTTATTGTCAAACATGCCTAATTTGCCAAGAAAGGAGCTCCGCGCGTGTCTTTGAGCCTCTTAGACCCACTCAGGTGTTGGGGCCGGGACATCTGATCCATCTTGACCTCGCAGTCATGCCCGTATCGACAGACGGATACAGGTGTACCTTGGATGCAAGAGACAACCTTTGTGGTTACGTAGAGGCAGTGACGCTTAAAAGAAAGTCGGGGAAGGGAGTGGCCGACTGGGTAGAAGATTTCTACCTAAGGCACCCCTTCATTCGAAGGTTCATAGCGTATAATGGGACGGAGTTTGAAACTACGAAGTGCTAAGCAGGCTTAAGACGTTGTGCGTACCTATCAAGATCATTGAGCCATATCATCCTGAGGCCAACGCGCCTGTAGAAAAGGGGCATCGGACCTTGAAAAACACAATTGCTAAGTTAGCGGCAAATGACCTCGGGAACTGGCCTCGGTACCTTAAGCAGGCAGTCTTCGCAAAGAACATGATGTCGAAAAGGACGACGAGATGCATTCCGACAGAACTCTGGTATGGAAGGGAGATTGATTTCCCGGTGGAAGCATTGGTATCTACTTGGAACAGGCTAGACGACAATCCGCACATATCTACAGAGGAACTAATCACCACGCGATGCCAACAGGTCCTTAGAAATGAGGAAACCTTGGAAGATGTTGTTAAGCGTGTGATGGATAGCCCAATGAGGGACAAAGCGAGGTGGGACCAGGTCAAGAACATCCGGAAGGAGCCGCTCCAGGTTGGGGAAATGATACTAGTTAGAAATTCAGCATTGGAAAGCACATGGTCAGGACAACTGGAAAGGAGATTCAAAGACCCCTACCGGGTCCCTAAGCGGGTGGGGCTGAACACCTTTGAGCTTTCGGATCTTGATGGTACTGGGTTAAAAGGGTCATTCCCGGGGCGGAGTTTGGTCAGATTTCTGAGCTGGGACCTGGTGAAGCAATGGTTGCAGGAAACTTAGGACAAGGAAGCAGGGGAATCGACAACTTGAAAAGCAGGCAACTGGACCGTAATCTTGTATCGTCCCTTTACGGAAATGATTATGACTGCTGAGGTTGTTTTTGTTTGTGTCGTCTCCTTTTTCCTGGGAACAAGGGTGACTGCGTAGGCTGAATATGGATGGGGTTGGGAGCCGGGGACAATGTATCATAGTTTTTGCGGGATAATGTTGGGACTGCCTATATGGGGTACCTATGTGCTGGGACAATGTAGCATAGTTTTTGTGGGATAATGGAACCGCCCGCCTATGATGTCACTTTGAAAGGACTACCAATCATATGGGGATGAGCAAGGGTTCTGGGGAGTAAGCCTGCAAATTCGCAAGGGGAGTGGGAAGGAATGTATGTATATGGGGGTTGTCGTGTTTCTTTTTTGTTATGTATGCACAGGACCAGGAAAAAAGAAAGCGGCAAGAAAGACAAAAATGGAATTCGGGAATGAGAACGACAACAATTTCATCAACAGGCCCAGCGGGGAACGAGGGACAAGACCAACCGGGGAACCGAGTACCAAAAAGAGAAAGTTGTATGTGGGATTTGACTTCAACTTGGTTGTCGGCAGGGGAGGAAGGAAACAGGGATATGTCCCATCTGAAAGTGAAAGCGAAGGGGAGAATGCGAGTCCAGGAAAAGGGCAGGAACCGGATAAGGAGGAGAGCCAGAGCCCTATCAGGGAGGGCGTCGAAAGTGGTGAACAGCATGTATGGCATGAGGACGTATGTGATGAAAGGCCTCACCCCCATGAACCAGAGGAACGTGAGGAAGAGTGTAGCCCCGTTCGAAACCACAGTAGTGATGAGGATGAGGAAGAACCCAATGAGGTTATAGATATCAGCAGTGGGGAGGAGGCCGAAGAGGTCACGAGGCCAAGAGAAGAAGTACGGGCGAGGGATGAGGATCCAGAGGATGAGAATGACAAATGGATACGAGAGTTTGGGCCAACTTGTAACCACTGGTTCGACCAGTGGACTAGTATCATGCGGCACAATTGGGCCTTGAAAGCGCAGGAAAAGCTAAGCAGGGGGGAAGAGATAACCCCAACAACCTTCCTCACGGAAGGGGCGCTCGTGGACTTACAAAGGACGAAGAGGAGGATTCAAAGGGAATTGGATGTCCGGGCAAGGCAGGCCCAACTCAAGGCAACTGAGCAAAAGGGGGGCAGTGGACGTGAAAGGGACTAGCCGTAGCAAAGCAAAAAAAAAGGGGGGAGGGAACGAATACCCGGAACAGGCAAGGCTGTGGTGTTGATTTTGCATTTCAATTTCTAGAAATAGACCACAATGGGACGGCTTGTGGCCTAGAAATGGCTAAGGATTGGGTAGCTAGTGCTACTTTGTATGAGTACTTGCTTCTTTAGAAGGACTTGAGGATCGATGAGCCTGAGGCTAGAGCTGTGAAAAGCCGAAAAAGCAAAAGGGAAAGGGGCACCTAGATAAAACAAGATTGTGGGATGGTCTTTGCATTTGATCTTTTTTTCAGAAGAAGC